GAAACTCAGTCATGTTGTTCGAGAATTAGATACCAAGGATTCCAAATTAATAGGATTATGTTTGCTGGATTGGATGGATACACTTTGATAAACTATTCAAGCTTAGATCTTCCTAAAATTTGACCTCTGTCCATTTTAGCATAGAAAGCTGTTTTAGTGGTTGATCCTCAATTTTTGCTATCAGAAAAATGTGAACAAGTAAAAATGTTATTACTACTAAAAAGAACAATTTGAGTTCGCACTACTAAAAATGGCTGTTTCCATTTTACTTAACTAGAAGGAATCATTTTTACTGGTGTGACTTTTTTTTCAAAAATAAAAAAAATGTCAATCACTTGTAAACTCTAATTATTACATATTCAAACTGATTTCTTACTAACTAAAAGAAAATTCTTACTAAAAAAAAACAAAAATAAAACTTACATGAAAGATGAATTTTCTTAATGTAAAAAAAAATAATAATAAATAAAAAAATTGTAAAAAAAAAATCAATTTTACATGCCTTTGACTTGGTTTTGGTGGACTTCAGTGTTTTTGAGAATACTTTGGACGGCAAAGAAAACAAACAAATGGACCCTCAAACAAATTAAGCCTCAGTTCTCACTCAAAGCCCAGATAACCAAACTTGAGTTCTCCATTTTGGACACTATCATCGAAGAATTAATTGTAAAAGACCATTACGGTTGGAAGAGTTAAAGGTAAAAGAGAAAGCGGACAACCAGCTACAAGATGGATGGATACAAATAGAGGAATCATGAACCAGCCATTCATGTTTTCCTGAGCTAGCTGAGCGTTTTCCCTTGATGATAGATGGGGAACGTTAAGCATGATATTACTGGTTAATATTCTCACCCTGCCTGCTGGTGTACAGTGATGTAATCAAAAATCTGATGTTTTGAGCAAAACTCGCTGCACTTTGATCAAAGATTATATGATGAATTGTACTTAATATGACAAGGAACGTGCAGATAAGAAAAAGGCCAATTTTAACGTCATGTTGACATGAGATAAGAGTTCATTCATACTAGTAAAACTTACTTCCATTAAAGTCATTGGGAAAAATCATGAGTTCTTACTAGTCAGGACACAAATTTACAAAATAAAAGTTGAATTTGATGTCTACATGTCAAATTTCTTTGTGTTTACAACAGTATTATTACCGTTTCGCTTGTTCAAGCTGACTGATTGATTTTGCATTAAAATCTAGAATGTCTGCCATATAATCCAAAATACCTGTTGACTGTTTCCAGTCCTCATTGCAGTGTAGCGTTTAGTAAAATCTCCTCCAACTGACTCAGTCCAGTCCCATTCATCGTCGTCATCATCCTCCTCTTCCTCATCATTTTCATCTTGCTGGACAGGTTCAAGGGACAAGGGCTGTAAATTCACTCCACTGAGCTTGTGTTCCAGTGTTGGAGGCTGGCCAGTATTGTGACTCAGTTCTGAGTCACTGGAGAGAGTCACACATATATTATTACCTCAGAGGCCCAGTCAGTCTAGCTTGATGATTTGCCAAATCTATGGTAACTGACCTATTTTAAATACTGACAACTGTGTTACATGTTTTCTACCAGCAAATTAGCAATACAGTGATTTTATATGTTGCCACCAGGGCGGTACGATAAATTGTATCGTAGCTGTGATGACAGAACAGATCAAATTACCTTAAATGCGGCATCAGAGACGTCATTACATTGCCACATAGAAGCCTAATGAATGCCTCTATGCAATGAGACTGAACCCTTCTCTCCCACGTGAAGGACGAGTAAATTAAAGGAGAACTACACTGATTTTTTTACATTTTCGGCATAATTCAACTGCTGAGATGTAAACAAAGTCATTCATCGCAGTTTGATATGAAATGGTTCATCGTGGAGAAACTTCCAGACTCTGATTTCTTTACAGTGGTGGTGATAGAAACCAGGGGTTGCCATGTCTATAGTGCAAATATAACCATTATATTTACTACCCCAAACAGCTAATGAACCTATGCACATCTGGGTCATTATATGATAAAACAGTGATAAATTTAGGGGGAAGAAAGTTTTTCTTTGGGAACTATTTAGCCTTACTACGCCCAGAATGTATCTCTCTGCTGCAAATAAACTAAAAAAAAAAAATACATTTTAAGTTGCAGCCATGTTTTAATTCTAACATAAAACATTGCATCTGGCATCGGTCAGTGTATTCATAAACATTTCATATAACAGCTTTCTGTGAGGGAGCATTAAACCCTTCAGATGTCTGGTTCCTATCACCACCACTGTGAACAACTCTGTGAGCCTGACTCTGAAAGTTATTCTAAAACAGAGCATTTCACACCAAACCACTCTGGATGAGTTTGTTAACATTTTAATGATGTAATTAAGCAGAAGTCTGGACTACAAGTTGGGAAAAACACAACAAGCATTAGGATTGTTATCGCCCCCAGTACTGTGTTTTAAGTGTCTGAGGCAGTAATGGCTACTGCCGCAAATAACATATTTAATAACTACATAAAACAATAAAAGAAACAAAAATACTTATTCATTTTTTGTGACAATTTTTTTATTTATTTATATTTATATTTGTATATAAGTGCATAAGAGACATGCTTGCCGTTCTGATTTCTTTATATTTTGCACAATAGTACGGAGCCCTATGGAGCCCCACTGGTGACATTATGTATAAATAAAAATAATGTGCGGCCACGACTTAGTAAGGCGTGGGAACAAGATCCTAATGCGTGGCCACGAGATCATGCCTTATTAAGCTGCAGTCAAGGTCTAATTATCCAATTCCCATGTCTTACTAAGTAGTTGCCAGGCATTATTTTTATTTATACAGGATGTCACAAAGCACAACAGCGAAGGGTGCTTTTATTTTGTATTTTGCTGTCTGCCTGAAGGAGAAGTCAGTTGGATTTCTGTTTATACATGAAAAGGTCTGTAGTTGCGTCACGTCCATTCAGAGACACACTAATTTAATAATAATATATCGCTTCTCGTATCGTTTTCGGAATATCCGCCAACTTTATCGAACTTCCCATTCTAGTAAATATCGTACAGCTGTCACTGTACCGTCACTTCCCTTTAAACGGTTACTAGGAGACAAAATTAAACAGATTATAGCCATAAATCGACTGAATAACACGTATTCGACGCTTTCGCTCAGCACATTATTACCGTCTAGTGTTTATCCACGCATCTAAAAACCTGGACCGTGAATAAAAGTTGTGAAACAGCCTGTCTCACCAACGCGGATAGCGCAGGGCTAACAGTTAGCGTACTAGCCGCTGATGTTGACGCCTCTCACCTGCCCGACTCAGCGTCGTCAAACTGTCCGGGCACGATCCGCGGCACCTCCGCGCAGCTCCTGCTGTCCATTCTGGGAACAGATTCACACGCTGGGAAACAAAACGAGGACAAATTCGGACTGTTAAAGTCAAAATAGACCCGCTGAACGCCAACGCACTCCACTCACTGATGACAACGTGGGTACGGGGGCCGAGAAGGACCAGCCGGAGGAAAAGCAAAACGCAAACAGCAAATGACGCCGTGATTCTCCTTCATGCGTCATCGTGTCGCTCCAGCCATGAACCGGCCTGTGTATTTATGATGAACAACGTGTTGTTGCTGTTTTCTCCATTTCGGTGGATTCACTTTAAAACGGTCAACTGTGCTTAACCTATCATGGCAGATTGACCAACAGAAATGGTCCAAAATTATCTGAAAAAATAGTAAATATTATATAAATATTATTATATAATAATATTTATGTAATATTATATAATAATTAATATTACATAATTATTATATAAATCCATTATTATTATATTATAATTATTATATTATTATAAATGTTAATTAAATATGATATATTTTTCTTCTCATGTAAACTTAGTATTTTGAGGATACAAGTCTTTGCTCTGACAGCAACAACATATTTGTGCTTAGAAAATAGTTTCAAATTATTAACCTTGGCAGAAAAACATTACACCCATTGAAGAACAGGGCAAAAGGGGGTAAGAAAGTATACAGAGAAACAGATGGACTACAGTCTGTAGTTGTAGAACTACAAAGTGCTCTTATATGGTAATTGGAGCTGTGGTTTTAAAGGTTTACAGTCCACCAGCATTGAGCTGTGGAGCAGTGGAACCACATTCTCTGGATTGCTGGTGTAAATCATCTAGTGTACTTAAAACCAAGTTAATGATTTTCTTGAATTTCTGCATAATTGAATTCAGGTAAGTCAATCAGAGTGGTCTGATGTGAAATCATCCATTCTCAAGAAACTTGTTTACAGAGGTGGTGATAGGAACCAGACGTCCGAAGAGTTTAATGCCCATAAAAGCTGCCTCACAGAAAGCTATTAAATAAATGGTTACTAATACACTGCCTGACGCCTGAGACCGTTTTACGGTAATTTTGATGGTCTTTTGGCTAAAATGTGTTTGTAAATCCATTTGAGACATACAGGCAGGGTGTTATAAGGCACAACAGTACCAAGTAAAATGTACACTTTCATATTTACCACTATTCTACCATCATCAACATGACATATAAAACTCAAAAGACACGTGTAGGTTCACCGGTGGTTTGGGATAGTAAATAAAATGGCTATATTTGAGTTGTAGACATGGTGACCCCTGGTTCCTATCACCACCACTGTAAAGAGTCTGTAAGTTTCTCTACAATGAACTATTTCTCATCAAACCACTCTGAATGACTCTGTTTACTTCTGAACTATTAACTATGCAGAAATTTTGAAAAATCTGGACTGACAATTTCAACATGTATTTTTTAGAAACCAATATTTTCTATTTATTATTCATTTGTATGCATGTTCTTCGTAATTAATATATAGTAGCCGTCCTCTACAACCTGGACACTGTGGGTTCTGCGCCTCATTCAGGCCCAACAGACTCATTATGGGAAAGCAATGGCCATGCACTTCGTTTCACACTCTTGTACAGACCTAAATGTATAACACTTTAAAATGAAAAAAAAAACTGAGCTGTCTTCAATTTCTCACTCTTTCTTAGTGTATATTTATTGTTTGAATGATTTAATCAAATAACAGGGCTGGGGAAAAAAAACACTAGCTTTCTAAAACTGAACAAATACATGAGAAACATGTGCAATCCCTTTGCAGTCATCTGACAGTGATAAAACAGAAACAGCTGAACGGTTAAAACATGCAGTATTACAGAGGATGAAAAAGAGGATGTACAGCATTGAGATGAAGCCAAAGGCAGTTGGTTTCCTGAAGAAATTCACATTCATATGCATGTAGTAACTGTAGTGATTGCTTTGCTCGCTGTAGAAATGAGAACAAATACTCCACCCACAAAGCATATGCATAATTTGAAAAAGGCCCTGAGAAAGAGAAGAATTGGTAACCACCAAATTAGACATGCAAAAAAAAAAAATCACTACTCTACTACTAAATCAAACTCGAATGAAACCGCTCAAGGTTCAGACACGATAATGTATTTTGTTAATGCACATGTGTGTTGTGGGGGCTGCGTTAATGCAAACAAAGAAGACAATAACAAAACGTAATTTATGGCAAACAGCTCAGGCATCAGAATTACGATCCATAAAATAAGCGATAATATAAAGAACTTCAAGATTGTTCAGTGCTACGGTCATCTTTTTTTTTTTGATTCTCCTTGTAGCAACATACGGGAGTCCACATGGCTTCTCGCGTGAGCTCGGACCACTCTCCCCAGGATCATCAATAAATACATAAAATATTCAGTGTGTTCTCTATTGCTGATAGAACTGCGCGTACACATGACGAACCATAAGCAAGCACACATTTCTCATAATAATAATAATGATTTGTTTCCGCAAATATAGTGACGTGTCCATTTGTTGTGTTTCCTTGAACCCCAGCTGGAGAAAACCAGACAAAATCTGTGAAAACCTTGTCAGAGCTGGAGTTTAAAGACCTTTCGCAAATCGAGACTAACTGTGATACTCTCTCCGATGGGGTTATCGCTCATCTGTAACGTTGCATAGTTGCGTTTGGCTCTGAGATACAGCATTCCATCGTTGATTGGGGTGAAGCGTGTTCGGTCACATCTTATAAGGCCTTAGAGAAAACCTCTGTTGAACTGAGGGAAGTCTACGAGGTTAGATTCGCTAACTGTTGAGGTACTAACTGGTGAAGTATAGGCGGCAGTGCGAACAGCATTGTTGTAGTAGGCAAGGCAAACGACAGCAGGGCGATTTCAAGTATAAAACCCACAAACATCACTGAAATGTAAAAAAGCACTTTGTTTCACATTGGAATTAAATACAAAGTGTGGAAAGCAAAGACACGGCGGCTGTGGGCAAAAGCTTGTGTGGTCTACTGATGGCAATTTCATACAGTGGACATCTAGACATCTACTTGGTGGGAGAGACTGTGGTCAACTACAGTGGATTCAGCCTGTACAGCTTCAATGCACCACTTGGACCGAATACATCAGTGGAACAGAAGATCCAATGGACAACGTCTTCATAATTTTGTCATTGTAAACGATGTCATTCAGAGTGTTCTGGTGCAAAATGATTCATTGTGGAGAAACTCACAAACTTGTATTTCTTCACAGTGGTGGTGATAGGAACCAGAGGTCACAATGTCTACAGTGCAAATGTAGCCATTTCATTTACTGTCCAAAATGACCAGTGAACCTAAATGTGTCCATAAATGTGTCTTCTGAGTTTTTAGAGAAAAAACACATTTTCTTTGGGGACTACTTTGCCTTAAAACCTAAGGCATGTACTCATCTGCTTTTAAAAGTTATGTTTTAGGTCAAAATTATTTTAAAACAATGTTTTAGGCCTGGGGCAGAGTTCATGTGATGACATTCTGTAACATAGCTTTCAGGCACATTAAGCGCTTTCATCGCATTGATCACAAGACTAGCTTTCAGGCGACTGATCGACAGAATTGTTCTCAGTGGTGGTGATAGGACGTCTGGTTCCTATCACCACCACTGTGAGCAGTTCTTGCGACCACTTGCTAAGTTTCTCTAAAATGGAAAATTTCACATCAAATCACTCTGAATAACTTTGTTCACATCTTAACCATTTAATTATGCAGAACTTTTTAAATGTCAGTGGAATTCTTTAAGCGTAGTACAGTACAAGCTTTTGCCCATGGTCAGTATCTTAATGTCAGGCTTTACACCCCAAACCACCAGGGGGAGCTGTCTCAACTGCCGGCTATGATCACTCCGGAGAGCATCATAAATCAGTGACGTTCAAAAGAGAAGAAAATGTACACAACAGGCAAATATTGCCAATAAACAACTGACCAATGATCACCCCAACTGAAAACATAAGGCCACTGAGTTACACAACAAGTCCTCCAAAAACCTAAAGAAGCCTAGTCTCAGAATTCCAAAGAGAAAAGGTCTCAGGCACTTCATCTGTAGAATGCCATTTGAGCAAAAAAGACTAAAAACAAACTGGAATTTACTTAAGAATAATACATTATAAATGGTGCTAATATAAACTGTCGGCTTATCATACAAAAACGTACTAATCTGATATAAAGACTTATATATGATTAATTAAAAAAACAATCTTATACATTTGATTAAAAATTATACTGTCCAGTTATAGTCATATTGATCCAAATCTCTGAAAAAAAAATCATTAAGGCATTGAGAGAAAAATCATTGAGTCGTCTCCAGTTTTGGATATTTTACGCATGTTGCAGCTGCATGAAGCAGTTATTGGTGGATGCCAGTCGTCTTTTAGTGTTTGTGGAAGGTCACTGAAGTATGGCACAGAATACACGTCTGCTCGGCCTCCTTACGGAACAGGTTTGTCCGCAGCTCACTGGTTATCCGTAAGACTGGAATCACCCATCTCTTTGGCTTTCGGGTTGCCAGGTGGGTGGGGGTCCACAGAGGCATCCTTGTGAGGTTCCATTGCATTAGATTCCCCTTCTTGAGGCTCCTTTGTTTGAGACTCTTTGGGAGGCTCTGCTGTGGAATCTTTCTCTTCCTCGACGCCAACATCGTCGTCCACCGCCTGGTGTTTTTCTGTGGATTCCTCGGCCGCTTGTCCTTCACCCTCGTCTGCCTGAGGCGCTGCCCCATTACTCTCAACCTCATTATCAGTAGGACCAGCTGTCTCGCTTTCACTTCCAGAAGAACACTGAAGCTCGTCTCCATCTGCAGCACTGGCGTCTCTTTCTCCGTCGGCCTCTTCAGGGTCGTCTGCATCCTCGGCCCCTCTGCTATCTGGCGTCTTCTGGTGGATACGCTGATGCCTGACCAGGCTGTGCTTCAGCGTGAAGGTCCGTTCACATGTTTGGCACTTGTAAGGCCTTTCTCCTGCAGAAAAGAGAAGGACAGCAGATGTTAAACAGCAAAAGGCACTACATAAAAATTACACTGTGTTTGTGTGGCTGTTCTTTGAGAGCCAGAGGTGCAAATATGGTCTGACAAGTTGGGCGCAAGACCAACACCAGTAGGCTAGAGCCTTTTAAAACCTCCTGATTACAAAGCTAGGTTAATTAAAGTACTCCTGCAATCACTTATCATATTATTATAATGAGTAATGCTTTAAATGTCAGTACTAATATACAATATTATTAACAGGAATAATAATGTTATGTATTGTCTGAAACATTCAGTATAGATTTTATTGCCTATTACAATGACAGTCACTGATCTGCAAGATCCTTAAAATATAATAGCAAAATACCTTGAGAATGATAGATGTGCTGGATCAGAAATAAGAAGGAGTATAAATAACTGCTCTGGTGTAAATCAATAAATGATCATAGTACAGTAAATATGTGCTGATAATGATTGCATTTGGAACACAGAGGAAGGGCAGATTAGTGTTTCTTTCAGCCAAAATGATCTTGTGTAATTTAAAAAAGTGGTAGGACTTTTCTCCCACTGCTGCCCTCTGACCCCTTGATTTTGCAGCAGCACTAACAGCGTATGAATACATATATATAGCAGCAGTAGTCGACCATTATACTGGTTACATTTTTTTCTCAGATCACACCACCTTAATTGGTGCAGGAGTTACATTAACGTCAGAGCAAAACCTTGTATCTCCATTTTTTGTAATTTTTCAGCTTTTGACACAACTGTTGCTCTTTACATTATGAGTAAATTTCATGATGAATGGACCAACAGAAATGGCCCAAAAAATACCCAGAAAAAAAGTCTGGTTCCATTGACCTACATTAAAAGTGAAGTAAGTTTTTTCCTTCTCCTGTAAAGTTATCATTTTGGAGATAGAAGGTTTTGTTCTGACAACGGCGATATATATCAGGATATATAGCGAAACCTATTTTTTGGTAAGACCATGATATAAATTCATGGCCATACTGCCCATTACTAATTTATAGGGTTGCAACAATGTCAACAAAGTAAATTAAATCAATCATGATTCAAAAAAATCAACATAATGTTTATAAAAACAAAAGCGTTCTTTAACGCTCTACATTTTGATATACGTGGTCAGCCCTAAGAAACTGGCCTGAAGTTATTAATTGGCAGCACATCAATTAATCTCTTACCAGTATGCGAACGCATATGCCTGGTCAAGTCCTGCAGGCTCCAAAAGCGTTTGCTGCACACGTTGCAAATCTTCTTCCTCTTGTCAGTTTTACCTCCTGGAGACTCATTCTCCTCCTCCAACCCTCTTAGCTCTGAGGAGCTATTCTCTTCCTCCTCATTCGGCCCCTCCTTCCTCTCATCTTCTGTTTCAGTCTCCATATCGATTCTGTTTTCTTCTTTCTCGGCAGGTTTCTCTTTGTTTACAGGGGAGGTGCTGGTGCTGGTGCTGGTGTTGGTGAGTTGGGTAGACTCTGCAGGCTGATTTCTCCCTTTTTTACCTCCATCCTCCAGCTGGGTCTCCTGCAAATGAATCTTTTGGTGCCGGCTCAGGGTAGCCGCATGGCGGAAGGTCTTTTTGCAGGTACAGCACGTGTGAGGAAATTCCTCTGATGCAGGATTCTCAGGTTCCACTGTAGGTGCTACAACGTCAGGCTGCTGCTGCTCAGCTCCTGACAGTTTGAATTCTATGAGCTTGCTGGCAAAGTTCATATCCAGACTCTTATTGCTCTGAGAATCATCATTCTCATTGCTATCCGTACACTCAACGGACTGTGAGCTTTCCACATCCTCCTTGCACTCTGGTTGTTCTGTGGCTATGTGTTTGGGTTGCTCTTTCAAAACGTCAGTGGGTGTGCTCTCCTCATCCTTTCTAGGACTCACAGTATCTCCAACCACAGCAGGCTCAGTATCAGAAACACCATCTACAAACAGAGCAGAGTTAAATTTGCACTCCACAAGTCAAGAATGTCAAAGTGGCTTTAGTGTAGATAGAACTAAGCAGGTCTTACCTGTACTTCCCTGTGACCCCTCATCAGCTTTGGGTTTGAGTCGTGGGCCAGCGTTCTGCAACATGTTGCGATTGGATACGCCATGCTTACGAAGAAGGTGGCGCTCACAGTTGGATTTGGTGGAAAAGAATGCATCACACTCGGGACACGGGAATGGCTTTTGGCCTAAGAAAAATAACAACAGAAATGTTCACGGTGCCATGCACATGTAACACTTTATCAGAATAAAGAATATACAGCTCAATTATTTATATGCAACTTGTTTACTAAGTGACAGAGGAAATCTTGGAATAAGCAAATATAAACAATATTTTAAATGTATGCCTAACCACTAGCAACAAATGCAGACCACAGAATCCTCATATTTGGGTAACGTGTGGGAAAAAAAGTACATGATTGGAAACACAAAGCAGTGGTGTTGTTTTGGAATATTTGTTTGTTTGCTTTAATATATTTTTCTATTTCCACAAAGCATCTACACATTTTCCCAGTAATTTTAAAACCGTACCCAACACTGCAGCAGACAGGAATAGCGTGAGTTGAAGTTTAACCTCTGTTAAATAAATTTGGCCATGAAACTTTAATAAACTTAGTAAGCAATTATGATATTGTAGATATTACAGGAACACAACCAATGCCTTTTGTCAAAGGCCAGGCTGAGGTCTGAAACCTGATGCTGTAGTCTGAGGATGTACCCCACAGCTTGTTCGTACAGGCATGATATCGGCCTAACACAATGAAACACAGTGCCTCCCTGCAAGCACGATAAGCCAGCAGTTTCTTTTTTTAAACAAACGCATTTTTCAGTCGCATTTCTTGGTTTTGATATAGGATATTATATCACCCAACAGGTTTCAAAGTTTTATTAGTGTCTTGGTACGGTTTGCATGAAATAAAAGAATTTTTACAGTTACTAAGGGCTGTTACTGCAGTAACAAACAGAAATATGAGAAAAAAATATCAGAAAGATGAGTTAAACCCTTCACACAACTAGTTCCTATTACCAATGTCAAAGATTCTCAATGACACTCTTCAATGCGCCATTTCATACCAAGCCAATCTGAATGACTTTCTGAAAAATTCCCCCTCAAGTCATGAAAGTTTTATGAGAGCAATGTCTGACCTGTATGTGTAAGCATGTGCCTCTGTAAAGAACTGGTCCAAGGGAACACACGAGGGCAGTAGGGACACTTCATCTTCTGCACCGAGTTTGAATAGGCATTCTTCTTCCCTTTGCTCTGCAACTGGACCTTCTGTTTTTCCTCTTTACCCTCCTTCTCCTCTTCACTGGCAGACAGTTTCTCCTTCTCCAGCTCCTCCTTCACTGGCTCCACCTGACTCGGCTGTAAGTACGGGCTGAATTTGTTTGCATCAGTAGTGGCGAGCATTTTCTCCACACTTGGAAATTCTCCGCTGGACTCCAGATCAATCCCACTGACAGACACAGGACTACATACGTCTTCCTTGAATGGCCTTTTCTTTCCTCTCCTCTTTGAAGAATGAACTGAAGAGCCACTGCCAGAGGAGCACTCAGGACTAGCAGTGCCACTGGAACACTTTTTGTCATTTAGTGTTTCGCCACCCATTAGCCCATCACTTTTCTCAGTGCTGATCCCTGTTTTGAGCAGCACCGGAGCAGCAGACACAGAGGAGATTATCTGGGCAATGGAGGCCAGAGGGGGCATCTCTGTCGTGTTGGAGGCAGCAACTGGTTTGGGCAACAGTGGCTTCAGGCGTGTGGTGAGCTTGACTAAATCACCTGTTAGAGTGGAGCCAAGGGTAGGGATAGAGAGTGGAAGAGATGCATGGACACCAGAGATCTTTACTAAAGACTTGTCTGTGCTTGAGGAAGAAGCCTCTTTCCTGACCTCCTGCTGATGCGGTGATGTGGTACCAACTGATTCTCTCTTTACTTTCTTTCTTTCAGAGTCCTTAGGAATGGAGAGGTCAATGGGCTCCATGGAGCAGTCATTAGATGATGACAGAGAGGAAGCAGCTGCCTCAGGTTTTATATCTGAGCCAGTTTTCAAGGACTTGCTGGAGAAATCCAAGGGCTGGTCTTGATCAGCAGCTCCAAGCAAGGTGCTATTATGGTCCTGTTTACCAGATTGAGGCTGAACAGCATGTGAAAGCCCGTTTGAGGCTGGAGCAGGAGAGTTGGCCTGGACAGAAGAGGCAGCTGTGACAGGAACAGAAGTGTTTATGTGTTCCTCTATCTCCCTCTCAGGAACATCTGGGTGCTGCTTAAGCAAATGATGAATACAGTTCCTTTTGGCCAGGAAGGCTGCTCCACACTGGCGGCATTCAAACGGCTTCTTCTGGCAGCCGTTATGAGTTCTCAGGTGAATCTGGAGAGCCCTGTAGCTCTTCAGGTCCTCTCCACAGTAACGGCAGGATGTGTTACCTGTACCAGCCGAATCTAGGAGGTCCAGTGTAGTGCCACCAGTTAAACCGCTTGCACTAGAGGAGGTGGTAACATACTCAATGTTCTTCTCAATCTCTTTTCGGGTGTTTTTCATGTGTTTCTTGCGCAAATGGCGCTCACAGTTGGCCTTGACAGTGAAAGGGTAGTGGCAGAGGCGGCAGACGTACGGCCGTTCACCGCTGTGCGTTCGTAAATGACGGATTAACGTGGCGTTGTCTGGAGCAGCGTAGGTGCAGATGCTGCACTGGTATGGAGAGGTTCCTAAGTGATGCCTCATATGTGCCTGGAGGCCTCCTGGGAAGGAGAAGACCTGTGTACAGAAACGACAAGGGTATTCTGTCTTGGTGGTCTTCTTGCCACTCGACACTCTTATATCTTTCTCTTTACCCCCAGACTCTTCTTGTTTGATATTTGCAGTAGATGAGTTGTACGTCAAATTTGTTGCCCCTGTTCCCTCGGCCCCTACAAGGGTGTTCTCCCAGTTAGTAGGAGAGGAAGAGGACGAAGATGAGTTTGATGACTGCTTAGAAGTGAGAAGAAGCTGGCCTGTAGGGGGTGGTAAGCCAGGGCTGATGCAACCTGAAGAAGCTTGCTGGGCATTCATAACAGGTGGAGGTGTTGTGGAAGTTCCCATGCTGGATCGAGGAGTCACCAGTGGCTTGGGTTTGAGAGGGGTAATCTGTTTGGGATCAGCCTGTAGAGGGCTTCCAGGACCTTTTGGAAGCAGTGGTAGAGACACCTGAGAGGTAGCCATCTTCAGGATCTGCTGGATGTCAGCCAGTTCCACTCCCGTTTGACTATTCACCGGTCGGACAACCAAACTACTGTTGACAAGTCCACCCTGAAGTGGCTGCAATGACAGGAAGCTGAGTCCAGTGCTCTTGTTCAAGCCTTGAATAGAAACAGGGTCTAGAAGACAGAGGCCAAGACTGCTGCCGGTCTCTTGAGGTAGATCTGTTGCTGGGGTCTCAACATTTATAAAACGGATGCTGTCTAAAATTTCTTGCTGCATCTCCTCCTCAGACTGTTCAGGCTCGGCAAGCGAAGAAAGCTGAAGACCGAGGGATGCCATGAAATCTTTTTGTCCGTTTACAGCATGGGGGTCCTTATGTGGTGTTGCATCAGCTTCCTCTTTGGAAGCCACAGAAACAGGGTTTTTAGGTACTTCTGCAATAGTGTCAGTTTCTTGCTTCTGGGGTTCAGCACAGGCATCTGCACCAGCTTTGTGCGAGGGTGTGTGTAGATCCAGAGATACCTGAAGAGGAAAGGCCTTGTTGCAGACTTCACAAACAAACCTATGAAACTTGCTCGAGCAGCGTCGCAAGTTTGTCTCACACCAAACCTGAAAAAATGAAGTTGTAAAGTTACATTTCAGAGGTCAACGCACCAAGACGGGTAATGACAATATTCTGATCTCTCTGGTTTCTGTTTCAAATACGCATTTGAAGTCCCAACCTGTGCAATCTGTGGAAACTTGTGGCAGGAAAAGTCAATGAAGGACAGATCGCTGAAACCCAGGGGGATTGAAGGGTTGCTCTGGATGAAAGGTTTTCCAGTGGGATCTGTGGGCAGTTGCTTATGAATAACCGAATTATGACGAAGAAGGCCACGGTGCGTGCGGAAGGTGATACAACACAGGTTACACCTAGCACAAGAAAAAATTCTGTTAAAATACAATATCTGTATCTAATATCTATACAATTATCTTGCAGTTGGGAATATATGTTGTTTGCTCCCACCTGAGTGCAGTGTCAGGATGTGTTTCCATGTGTGACTCCAAACCATATTTACAGATGAATGTCTTGAAGCAAATTGGACAGTGCAACAGTTCTTCCTCACGCTTTACAGGTCCTTCTTCTTCTGACTGCTGCACCGTCAATACCTGATTAGGGAAGATTGGCTATGAATTTAATATGAAGGTATATTAAGACCGAACAAAACCCCCAATTTAGACAAATAATACCAACTGGTCCATTTGTGTTATGTAGTGGATTTAGCAATTAATTAGTTAAATTAGTGTTTTGAGGTAAAGTACTGCTTTAATATTCTGATACTGTGTGATACTGGATTTAAAATAAAGGCACCACTAAAAAAGCACAAAGGATTTGCAGAATCGCACCTTTTTAACGGGTGGTTCATCGATTTTCTCTCCATCATCCTCTATACTTGGCTTCCTCTTGACACTAGGTCTACGGCGCTTGTTTGGGGAGGCAGGACTGGAGGCAGGGACATTATTTGGGTCCTTGTCATGAATTTTCATGTGTCTGTAGAAATCGAAAGGCACTTAAGTTATCTTGTTCAAATCTGAATAAGACACAAAGAATCATTACACCAGTGATGAAATGCACCTTTGTACCATACGACCTACAGCCACAGGATGCTTCTGAGACATCAATGCAACAACAAAGCCAGTGACAATGTTTGTGGTCACAACAGAGAAAGTAAAGTCTGGCTATTTAGTCTGTAAATCTTTGCAGAGTAGCTAATCATTTTTTGGAAGTCAAGCAAAGGACTGTACTTTGTGCTGGCTGAATTATAAAACTTTCAAAACAAAGTCTATTACGTCTCAGGGATGCAAGATGGATGAACCAAATGTCCCTGCTCAGATTATGAACACAGCTCACGCTGGTAAAAGGACTGCAAGCTAAGCATGCTATAGCATGCAGATCAAGTTCATGTGATGAAACAGTTCCCTGTAGGCCTATTGTCTATTTATTCTTTTAAATGAATGAGTGTTGAAGATACATCTATGCATACAGTTAGATGAGCTCAGCTGCTGGTTAGCAAATCTTCAAATAAAATGTAATGTTCTTCTCTTTATGAAGCTGCCTCAGTCTTACAAAACCTCGCGGCCTCATGAGAGGAGCGTTCCGTTCAGTGAAATGAGTGGGCTGGAGGAAATGCATGACCTACATGCAGACAGCAGAGGGCTTTCTCTCCAAGGGGCCAGACTGTAGTGAGTGGAGGGAGAGTCGCATTACGACATGCTGGAACGTGTGCAGCCCCCTCCCTACGGCAGTTTGCAGAAACAAACCCACCTTTCAGGTTCCACCAGATATGAGTCTCTTGATGCTTAAGTTTAGATGTGGGTTAAACAGTGAATAACGAAATGATCCAGAGTTGGTTCTGCGTTAGAGTACACTAAATTCTGAACGCTAATGAAGTTATGTATAGTGAGGCCTATGCACTTTTCCTGTGTCTTTGAGTCAAGGCCAGCAACAACATGCATTAGGAGTTAACAGATTACACTGCTGCGATAAAACTTTATATACAACTTAATAATATCATAAGGTACATTTAAACAAACACATCCAAAGTCACAACAAATAATACCAAAATATTATGTCTTAAAGCATCCCAGGTGGACGTTCCTTCAATCTTAGTAAAACTGTCATCATGTGCAATCATTCAATGCTAAAAGTGTTATTTTGAACCAGGAACATTTTTTAAACTTAAAAAAAATTTGTGGAGTGAAAATTCAATTGCATTGTTGGGGACCCTTGACAGGCCTAACGCACTTCTGCCTCCAGAAGTGAACATGCATGTCTAGGAGAGGGAGGATAAATGTCAGCAGGCGCAGTGCTGAGAATCTTGTTTTACATTCTGCAGTCAGGGATATTAATAGCAGAGATGGAGTGAGGGCCGCCCATATGTGGACCCAACCCTGACAGCCTGAATCCTGTTCCATTTCACATCTCGGGTCTCTGGCCTCGATCACAAACTCTTCACCTCAAAAGGAGCAAATAAAAGAGCTAACAGCAGAATTTTAACTGGGTGCGCTTGGAATATTAGCTGATAAATGGGCACGGACATCGGTTATTTCTTGTGACCGACTGTAGGACAAATGAACACCGGGATACTGGGCTGCACTGTGCTCCCCTGCAATACCTCTATTATATGGCAGAGGGTGCTGTGATGTACAGGTCATAGTGGGAAATATGAGGTTATGCTCAGCATAGTCTTGATTCCAGCAGCCATGAGTTTCGCAATGACAGTACAATTGGAGCTGCAAGAATTTCACTGTGGTATTGACTAGTAAGACTCTGATTGGTTGACAGCATCATAGGCAATGGTAGAAGCCCTGCTGCACGGCAATAAATTCTTACTCCCCACATCTACTCTGCACTAAGGGTGGGCAAAATGGCAAAAGCTTCCCCATACACAATAACTAACTATCACTATATTTAGTTTGTCTGATTGTGAAAAAGTGACAGATCATTTGCACAAGCAAAATAATGTAATGGAACATTTTGGCTATGCAATTGAAAAATATTTAATAAGGAACAGAGAAAAAAAATATTAAAACAATTATAAAAATAAAGACGATGGCATTATGAGCTGACATGCAATCAGCAACTTGTTGCTATGATGCTTTATGCATTATACTATTTAGTTATGTTAAGGTGCGCAGATGGGACGCTCTGGAGCAGCCGCTCATGAGCCATGCATGAAGCCAAGCCTCGGCTAAGTGGTATGAAGGCCCCCAGCACTGGACTGAAGAGCATAAGAACTACATTCTCTGCAGTGTCAGAGCTCTATCCAGGACCTTTGGGATGAGCCGGAGTGATGCAGAACTAATCATCCAACATCAGTACCTGACCTCACTAATGCTCTTGTTGCCGAATGCAACCAAATCCTCACAGCAATGTTCCAAAATCTAATGTAAAGCCTTCCCAGAAGAGTAGAGGCTGTTACTGCAGCAAAAGAGAGACTCTCTTGATTTCAGCAGAAATGCTGGATGAGCAGGAGTCTACAAACTTTTAAACCTGAGGTAACTGGTCTAAATATTTATGATACATGCCTTGTTCTAGTGTCCTTGAAGCACTCATCAGTGATATTCATGAAATTACGACATAAATCATAACGACAATGATAACGTCTCGCCATATCACCCTCTCCTACGCTACTGAAGAAGACCTGCTTCATGGCTCTAAATTCAGACCTAATCCAGACCTGCCTATATCTGTGCAGTAGAAGGCCTAAGCGCAGTGTCCAAACGGACATCTCTTTACCAGCTTCACCCCCCCCCCTCTCTTTTTCAGCCATTTACACACAGACTCAGACTGTCTTTCTTCTCCCACCCCCATCTGGAATGCCTGCATGTTTCAGCCGCACAGAGAAGGCCTCTATGCTCATCCCATAGACACAGTCAGCACCACAAACAGACCAGAGCACACAACCATAAACACACTGAGAAGTGCTGCAAACAGAAACATCTCACACAAACACATGGGTGTGTACAACCTACAGACTATACACACAGGCACAGAAGCTGGTGAACACATATGTATGCATTTGTATGTAGTGAAAGTAAAGTTAACACATCCTCTACAGAGAACACACTTAATCATGTCATTTTTCTGTAATTTCTAATTAACATATCGGTAAAAAATACACATATGTGCCGAAATGTTTTTATCAGCACCTAAACAGCAATTATGTATTAAAATTAAGAAATGTGTTTTTGGTGGAAGAGTAAAGTTTTGCATGCAACTGTATGACCCTGAAGAATTCAACAGATTGTTCTCAGATGCATACCCTGAGTAAGATGTTCACTAAGGAACATTTGAAATGATGCCAATTTATTATAAAAATTATGTTCTCATACCTATTTTTGTTTGGCTAGATAATTAGTGCCTTTTTTCAGTCGTGGCACTACCAGGATTCCGACTCTCGATCTCCTGAAGACAGGGCAAAACTTTAAAACATCCTGCCACTGGGCGGGGCCCACGTTTCCAAAGCATCGTAGTGTTTAGATCACCTTATCTTGTAGAGAGAGTGTTCAGTGTGATGCATTTAAGAATCATCTTTTGTGCTAAGATGCTTTTGGTAAACCTCGAACCTCGCCCAGCTCAGTACCCAGTACTCTGTTTACCCACATGACAACAATGCAATGCTGACTCTGGACAATGCAGGCTAAACTGGTGAATCCGAACACAAAATATCATCCTGATAAGTATGTGAATAACATGTTATAACACATTTTCTAATTTATAAAGAGAAATAATGAGACCTGAATCATATGCTGGTAAAACATTGCTTAACTAAAACTAATGGACTGGAAACTATAAATTAAAATCTAACATGTAAATATAAAATGATACCAGATGATATTATGCCTGGCCAAAATGACCCAGTGGGGAATAAACAGAAATCCTTGCAGCAGCATGATCTGAGTCTGGTTATCCACAAGATGAAAAACTGTTGTCAATTCAGGTGTAAAGATTTTATGATGCTAAACTGTTAAGCTTTCTTAATTTAGGCTATGCTTCCACTTGTCCCAGAAAACTATTCTGGATTATTTTTTGAAAACTACACATCTTGTTGCTTAAAAATGTTTAAGAATAAAGACTTTCAGCATCTGTAAGAATCTCGCTGAAGGAAAGGCTAAAGCAGCTGGAAATAAATCTGTGTTCCGGAAATAAATCTGGAAATTTGTGTTAACGCCATAGCCATGGAAAGCAAAGTCACTAAGCAACAACTTCACACAACAGCAGAAAGCAGTGCTTCACTGTCTTTGCTTAGCTGACATATCTTTAGATAAAATGGCAAAACCTGCTAAATTAACTCAAAAATTCCTACTTAATTTAACAATTCAATTTATCTTGGGTAAATACATTTCTAATTGAGCACATAAGGAAGATGCAAAATTTATTCAGTTAAGCCTCACTTTTTAGCTCCTAACTCAATTTCAATGCAACCTAACTCAAATCAAAACAGTATCAGTATTAAATGACTTGTAACGATATTTCACACCACACTGCTCCTGTGGGAAACAACCATCATACTGAACGGGCCACACAAGCTCTTAGCTCTGTTAGCTCCTTTAGATAACAGCCTGAAGTTTCAGTTCCAATCATACAAAACACAAAACCACCACACTGAAACTGCCCTCACTGAGGATAGAGATGCATATCGACCCACACAGACATGGAGGCAGCTGAGCAGCATGAGAGTAAGTGCAGTACCTGTGCATGTTGCCGTTGGTGGTGAAGCTCTGGCCGCACACTGAGCATTTGTAGGGTCTCTCTCCGCTGTGTACAAGCATGTGGCGGTCCAGAGAGCTGGCCGAGCTCAGGGCCTTTCCACAGATGCTGCAGGAGTGGTCAGTACCTCCGGTCTCCGTGTTGTGCTAAAGACAAGCCAGACAAAGACAGGTAAGTTTACAAATCTCGCATTGTCTTTGTGCTACAATATATGTGCCATTTTTGAGCCTGGGATACAAGGCAAGACGGGACATTCCGACCAATATACTGGATTAGTTCTTCCAAATTAATTACTGAATCTTTCGCGATGTTTATAGTCCTGTTCCACCTCATGCTAATAGAATAACAAAACCTGCTCATAATGTTGTTACTGTTCTTAAATGACATGATATTAAAACATACAGGGATTTGACTTTATAGTCGGATCTCTACTGATTATAGAATCGTCTCTGATAAAGGCTGATTTGAGCAGAAAACGCAGGACTGAATATTAGAATCCAATCAAATCGTGAAACAAATCCGGCCAGAACTTCCCACCACCCACATTCTGTGACGTCATGCTGTTAGCTGTGCACTTCTTAAAAAACAGATCATTTTAAAGCTTTTAACATAGTTTTTGACAAATTTTAGATAGGTATCAGCTGATACTCAAGGTATCAATATCAACATCAGAATATAAAAACTGGTATTTGTTCCATCTCTAGTATAAATATCCCAGCTTCAACAGCACTTTAGTCATAACCTGCAAAATTCTGCAGTGAGTCATCTCCAAACAATGATCTGGAGCTTTCGTTTCATGGTGACTTGCGGCATCTACCTGTCTTATATGCATAGTGAGCTGGTGCTGGGTCATGCAGTTCTTTTCACACAGGGGACAGATGAATGTTGAGCGTTCTTTCACTTCCTGTGACAAAGAGATAAATTATCTGTTAGAGTCAGAACGTTCAGCACAACAAATCCCCCAACCTCAAAATACAGGCAACAGGCTGGCAGAGGCCAGTGAAGTGAGATGTGAAAGACTGATGCAAGCATCCGCCTCAGACTGACAGCAACAGGTGACCACTGCAGCACCATCAGTCCAGTCAGTCTCTGTATTACACCATTTAGAATCTGAAGGACTTGACCAAACTGCGTATCTTCAAATGATGTAGAATATAAACACTAATAATGTAAATATATCATTACATAATCATTAAATATATAACATCTAAATCCACATCAATTCAAGACTGCTGTGTTATATGGAAGCTCAAGAGACTTGACAAGTATGCTGTTGCAACATCAGTTGAGGCAATTCAATACATGACAAGTGATATAATGTTATCTTCCTTATGCAGAAGGTGAGATATTCCTTCAGATGTTTAGATGGTAATGATTTGAGTACGATGCTGCAGACCTGTTTGGGGCTTCATAAAACAAGGATGTCCAGCCACGTAGCCAGAAAACAGCACAATTTAAAATTTCTGCCTCTCTAATAAGGCTGATCCAAGCCTCAAATATAACCAAGAGAACAACTTAAAGTGATCGTAAAACAAAAATCAGTATGCATTTTCTTCCTTAATATGACATATTTACGAGAGAAAACAGGCTACTGCAGCGGGAAATGGGCAAGGCATAATTTTATCCTTCAGAATTTGCTTGGAGCATGAAAAACAGGCATTCAGAAACAAATATGGAGTCAGACTCTGACGGTTTGGCAGAAAAGCCGAAGAAAAAAAAAAGATTTTGTCAAAAAAAATTAAGTACTACAATATTTTAATGTTCTGTTGATTCTAAATCATGATTCATTAATTGTTGATTTTAATGTGTATTTTTACCTTTTACCTTTTTAACCCCTGTGTGGTGTTGGGGGTCTGTGGACTCATTTTCAATGTTTACCAAAAGAAAAAATGATGTAATTTATTATTATTTCAACCCCAGGTTTCTTGGCCTTTGCTCATTTTCGGTGAAGAACATATCAAATAACCCATTTTCAGTGACTTCGCACTGTTTACCCCCCGCACATTTATATTACACGTGGTGTTGGGCTGAACCCGCAGGGAGTAAAAGTGTGGAGGTGCTGTGTCCTTCACTCCTCCTACATGGCCTGCTGTTAGTGTGTGTGTCTGTGTGTGTATTTGTTTGTATATATGTGTGTGTGTGTGGGTGGACAACATGGACAGGCTGCTGACTGGCTACAGCTGCTAAAGGAGAACCCTACGCTGGACACTTGTGATATTTTAAACATTTGGTATTTTTACATAAATTATTATGGCTGTATTGATTAATGTGTGAGAGCATGAGATGGACTGTGTGTCCATCAGCATCAGCTGACTGACTTTAACCTTCATTTTCTGGACTTCACGAGAAGACCGTCTTGGCCTGAGTCCATAGAAAGCCCAGTTTAACCCCTGGTGTGAAATTCAATAGGTGAAACAGACACTGAGGGCAGACTGAGTGGACCCCACTGATAAAGACGCTGTGTTCTGAGTCCTTGTGGAAACAGTCGCGCGCTGCAACAACAAGTGCTCTGCATCTGTCTCCAGGAAAGCAGCGGCTCCAGCTGGGAGAAAGCATCAATAACAGAGCGGGACAGGCCAGCCCTGCACCACGGCGGCTAACGTATGGAAACATACTTAGTGCTGCTGAATGAAAGCTGGTGGGGAGTTGAGGGTTGAAACACCTGTTTTTTCCTCCACAGAGGAGCGTTTCAGCACAGTCCTGTGCTTTAATTGGAGGCGTAAGACGCGCATGGCTGCTGACAAAGGGGGGATTGAGAGGGAACATGGACCATTTGCTGCCGCTCGTTCAGCAGAGCAAACGGCACTGCCTCGGTGACTGATAGCCTCTTCTTGTACCCTCAGCAGGCCCTCCTGCATAACCCAAAGCCAGGAAAACATATATGTCTGTGTATTTGTCAGAACAAACAAACAGCAAATGAATCTGTTAATTAAACAGGAAGGGACAGATTCATTAAACGCACCGCCAGATTTATCATGACGTTAAGAACAAACAGCGTCACAGTAACACATTTGCTCTTTTAAAATAGAGGATTACCAGCATGTGAGGACCACAGTGGAAATAAACCTGAAGCACATCTATTTTAACGCTATATGAATTTTCCTCCTGTGTATGAAAAGTGATTTGACATGTTGAGAATTCATTTAACTGCAAACGATTTTCAATGTCGTTTTTCAATTTATGATGGATTTTACAAAGGAATTTCATTTACACATGAGAAAATGATATTTTTATTAAAAAAAGTTCATTACTACAGTCAAAACAGAAATTTGAAATGTAATATTTACTTGAGGTATTTTAATTTTCTGCATGTGCAAATAGAATTTCTGATATCAAGTATTAAACATTTACACGCGGAAATCTTCCACGTGTGTAAATTTAATTCCTGGAATAAAAAAAAGAACAAATAAAAGCTAAAATGACTTGGCATGCCATAGTTATCAGACTTTCAGCATGTCCATTTAATTTTTAGCTATGTGGGGGGAAAATAAATGACCACATGTTAAACTTTAACTTTAAACTAATTCATGTTAGTAAAATTTTCACTGCAATTTTACTAACATAAATGTAATTCCTACAATTAAAAGTGTTAAAATTTGATATACAATGTGACGTATATTAATTTCACACTTATTGATGTGTGTGTGTGTGTGTGTTTATATAAAAATATTAAAAGCACCTTTACCCAACAACTCACTATTATCTGTCAGCACTATTTCTCTTAAAATTTCAGAATTTTGGTTTTCTTTATTTTTTTGTTTCTTTGTTCTCGTTTCTTTAGACAGCCAACTGGAGATTAATTCGGTGTTGGTCTTTAATATGCATGACCACATTTACATGTGGATATTGCCTACGACACAGCAACGGTGTGCTAATTACTGCCAGGATGACTTTAGGAATAGATCTACGGTGCCACACATTTCCTGTGATGCGGTGCTGTTATCACACAGTTTTATAAATCTGGCCCACAATCTCTCAGATTAAACACGGAAATTGTTCATTTTAGTGTAGTCAATCCACAGATAGTACCTAAATATTTCTAAAAGGAACCTATTATGCCAGAGAAAGTCAGACATAAATAAAAATAAAAGTGGACCTGTTTTTGAAACTGTTGCATCTACTGTAAGAACATTATATGAACACTGACGTGTAGCGGTTATGCTAACAGTTGTCTCAGATTACCATTTACTAATATCGAGTTTCAGGTACGGTCGCACCAACAAAACTATAGACAGGGGACTAATGTTGGGGAACAAGTTGAAACTAGATCCACTTTCAGAATAAGGCAACAAATAAACGAGATGATGAGCAAACAGGGATATGATTTTGTGTATTTTTACAGCACGCAAAGTACTTCAAACACCTTAACACTCAAAAATGCTTCAAGTACCTGATTTCTCCTCCCAGTGCGATTGGCAGAGGGTGACTTGCTGGGGGTTTTGAGGGATGCATTTGAGGTAACCGGCTCTGCTCCTCCATTCACTTGGCCAGTTTTGGTTTCAGTACACATCATGGAATTGGCACAGGACTCATCTCCTTCCTCTCCACCTTCCTCCATCTCCTGCTCATCTCCCTCCTTCTCCTTTTCTTCCTCAGTTCCGTTTTCTTGTTGTAATACTCCAGCATGGTCCATTTCATTCTTTAGCTTTTCTGCAGGATAAATAAAAAGAGAAAAAAACACTCCTAAAAAAAAGGAAATAACATTGTTCAGCAGAGGCTTTATGGGCTATTAAGGTCCAGCTAAACGCATGTGATTTAGGCCAAGACTTGTACTGAAATGCAGTTTCACTGTTGAAAATCCCATTTAGTCTGAGCTTTGGCTTAATCTGGGTCTGGGAAACTGACTCTAAAAGATCATCCTCATATCTGATCAAGTAAACAGCAAGATGAGATACAAACAGACATAACAAGACATGTAGTGTGGACAAATGTGAAATCCTACCTTCCACAGGCTGTCGAGGTTTTTTGGAGGGTTCCTCGGTCTGCTGAAAGGATTTGCTACTGTCAGGACCAATTCCACCTTCAACACGACTCTTTTCGGGTAAGGCACTCTCCATTTCTGCAAAAGACAAGACAGATAAAGCCCACACTGCACCAACCTGAAGGTGGCGATTCAACCGAGTCAGGTTTGAAACGTTTGAATCAACTGTGTAATTGATTATGATAACACTCAATAAACGATGGGTTCACTTTTTGGCCAAAAATAAAATGTTTGGGCCCACTTTCACAGACAAACCAACAAACAAACAAATAAAAAATAACTAAATAGTGTCTTGTTTTAACTGTCTGCATTCCTCTACTTTGTAAACAGTTATTCCAGTCATAATTGTGTATTACAATTGTGTTACTGTACCAAAATAAACTGATCGGATCATGAAATTCGATTGTAAATTTCTGATTTCATTTTCATTTCATTTCCTAAAAATTACAATTGAATCATTATGAGATCAGAGATTTACAGTTCTCCATCACTGTCACGATCTAAGTGGAAATGCCCCACCTTAAACTGATTTAAAGACAACCCTCCCTTGTTGCACAGAAGGATGGTTCAGTATTTAAATGCAGTGAATACAAGCAGGCATGCAGTTCCCTGGGGTGTAAAAAGTAAGCACACCAATGATTTCAACAACTGGCACTGAACCTTTTTATAAAACCTCTTTTTACGCTCTATAGCAGCAGCCTACACCGAACAGAATGTGTTTTGGCCCTCTCTTGTACAACGCTGGCATTGCCAACCAACCTTTGACCCTTCTATACAAAGCACATTGTTCCAGGAGAAGTGTTCTATATACAGAAAAGTTCAGCATTTAGCTGCTCTTTATTGAGGCCAGATGTCCCTGACCTGTCATGGTGGTCACCTATGTGGGCAGCTAACTTCCTGACAGTTGGACTTGTTAACAAATTAGCACTACAGCTTTTCAGAACTCAGCATGTGGGCTAAATGTGGTGGGACAATCTCTGTCTGACTGGAACTTTCCTCAATTGAAGATAATCTCTTGTACAGTGGAAATTGCATTTAAATCTCTCTGTAAAAACTCCCAGGCCCACGACCGTGGACGACATTCTTTCTGAGGGTCTCTCAGAGCCGTGGCCGAGGGACTGGCAGACACAGCCTGCTGCTTGATCATATGGGTAAAGCCATACTAGACTGAGTTTTCCTTTTATGTAGATCTGGGCCTTTTACACGACTGTTTACTGTTCATATGTTTGTTTCTGTTAAGGTTTTCATTTATTATCAGACATTTGTAATATATTGTAATTACAGTATCACTGATGGTCATGGTGGCTCTGTAGGACCTTTTTTTTTCTTAAAGCTTAAAGCAGCACTGTTAAAAGCGGTCATTTTAACAAATAAGGATAACAAGTTCTTGGGCTAACTGACAGTGTCAATGACATCAATATCATTTGCAATTAATTTAGACTACATTACTCAACCTAAAAGAAATAAAAGCATAATAAACCATAAATACAAACCATACATAAAAAACAGATTCAGCAAAAACAAATGGCACCAATTTTAGACAAGTCAGTTTCTTTTTATTTGCACAAACTGATTTCATTTCTTTGAAATAAAAGAGTTTAATGTAAAATGCGGTTTAATATCAAGACCCAGCTTTCCATTCAGCTGTCGAATTAAACTTTTTTTGATATTTGCTGTTTCCACCAAGTCACTTTTATTCGATATGTTAAAATATACATAAAAATATGTGGAAACCCAGCTTATTTTAGGCATTTTGGCATTTTATGCCATGTTTTTATCCTCACTGAGTAAAAACATTCACATTGTTGATCTTGCATACAGTTGTATGCAAAGGTTTAAACGCTCCCAGTCAAATGACGTTTTGTTGATTTTCTGAGTGAAATATGGCATGTTTCTGCTAATATGGCAATATACTAATAGAATTTATTTTATACTCTATTAAATATTTATTTGTGGAGTTTAAGACACTGAAAAAAAAACATTTTATACAAAAATGCAAAATGTGCCAAAAAAGGTGCAAAACTTCAGTAGAATTTAGTAAATAAACAGTAATTGTACACAACATATGTGTCCTCTGCAGAAGATGTGTAACTTCTCTCACAAAATCAACAGAACATGTAAATTGACTGGGGTGCCCAAACTTTTGCATACGCCTATACAGACACATATAGGCTGCTTTGAGAGTGATGATCTGAAAGACAGAAGTGGTGTGAGATCCCCAGAGAAGCTCTAACTAGATTCAGCAGCCACACATCTCAGAAAAACTGTCAGCTTCCTCTTTCACTACATGCCCTAACAACAGATTTCAACAGTGCACAGCTACTAGAGGAGAAGCTACTTTAACAACCGTAAGGCAAGAAGCTAAACGTTGGAGGATCTGACCTGAATGCAGAACTTCCTATACAACTACATAGATTGGTTAACAACATGTAGCCTTTAATTAGTGATGCTAAGTAGTTGGAAAATAGTTTAGTGAAGTAACATTTAAATTGCAGGCTTATTATTCAGTTAGTAATCTCAGTATTTATTATTCAATAACCATTATAAATTATTCTGGCATTAGAATTAGGGCTGCATGATTCTGTCACTTTCAGGACAAAATATCTCCTAAATGGTAACTTTACAGGAGAAGCAAACACATTCTTAACTTTGAATGGAAGCTAATGAAAACAAACGAATCCAACTATTTTTGGAGCATTTTCATTGGTCCATTTATTGTGAAATTTCAACATATAATAGTGCCATCAGGCTTCTCCTTGTTTCTACACTCAATGTCCATTTTATCAGCTCCACTTACTATATAGGTGCACTTTGTAGTTCTACAGTTACAGACTGTAGTCCATCTGTTTCTCTGCATACTTTGTTAGCCCCCTTTTACCCTGTTCTTCAGTGGTCAGGACCCCCATGGACCCTCACAGAGCAGGTTCTATTTGGGTGGTGGATCATTCTCAGCACTGCAGTGACACTGACGTGGTGGTGGTGTGTTAGTGTGTGTTGTGCTGGTCTGAGTGGATCAGACACAGCAGTGCTGCTGGAGTTTTTAAACACTGTGTCCACTCACTGTCCACTCTATTAGACACTCCTACCCTGTCAGTGCACCTTGTAGATGTAAAGTCAGAGACGATAGCTCATCTGCTGCTGCACAGTTTGTGTTGGTCATCCTCTAGTCCTTCATCAGTGGTCACAGGACGCTGCCCACAGGACACTGTTGGCTGGATATTTTTGGTTGGTGGACTGTTCTCAGTCCAGCAGTGACACTGAGATGTTTAAAAAATCCAGCAGCACTGCTGTGTCTGATCCACTCAGACCAGCGCAACACACACTAACACACCACCACCACATCAGAGTTACTGCAGTGCTGAGAATGATCCACCACCCAAATAGTACCTGCTCTGTGAGGGTTCATGGGGGTCCGGGCCACTGAAGAACAGGGTAAAAGGGGGCTAACAAAGTATGCAGAGAAACAGATGGACTACAGTCTGTAATTGTAGAACTACAAAGTGCACCTATATAGTAAGTGGAGCTGATAAAATGGACAATGAGCATAGAAACAAGGAGGTGGTCATAATGTTATGCCTGATCGGTGTATATACATGCACACACACACACACACACACACACACACACACACACACACACACACACACACACAAGGTTTGTCCAGACAGTGTTGATATGTTTATCAATACTGATATCACAAAAGGCTGCAATATGCAAATTATCCTTGTCCGCAATCACAATTGTTTACTGGATGTTGTGGGTATCCTGACCAATCACAGATGCTCCTTAATGAGTTGTTTTCTTTGAATGTTTTTTCGAATGTATTCATGTGATCCAACAGTTGTAATTAATTTTAGTCAGAATTATGCAGGACAATCTTAAATTTTCACATCACTGGTTCATTATTGTGTTTTTAATACATTACATCATTTTGCGCCCACAATATGAAGCAGCAGAATCGGAATATGACATTTGGTCCAAATTGGGCAGGTCTGATTACTATGAAAGTAATGTAGGTTATGAAGCATGAACCCATATACAAAAACCGTTTAAGGGGTTCTAAAATGTGCTGTTCATTAACATAATGCATCACAATCCTAATTAGCCTGTAACTGGAGTTGTTCTAGGTGCCTTGACTTAGACAGAATAAAACATTAACTAAAGAATAACACCACTGCTCTGTTAGAACAGAAATAGAACAGCAAGTTCTATTACTAAAACTGACCAGCATGACCACACAACTCATTTCACCATCTCCTCCCACCAAGTGTCTTTTCCACAGAGGCAAGGCATGTCTTAACTTGTCTTATTCAACTGACTGACAAGGAAAACTACTTTTAAATGGAAAAACAGGTGTTTGAAAGGCACAAAAGCAGGGAATAGCTGCTGGATGAGCCACAGCGTTTTGGTTCGCCAATACAATGAGCAGACTGGCCCGTGGCCTGCTCTTGACTAACTGCTATTGGTGAATGGGGTTTAGTTATGCTCAAGTTTTCCCAGCATCCATCTTACTTTTTTGAGGTAGAATCAAACTGAGCTGTATCTTACAGCACACGGTTTTAGTGATGGATTCATCTCTTGGGCTGTCTTGCAAAGTCTGTCCAAAACTCCTTGATGATTTAATACATCACAGCAGTCTAACCAGCCCTATAACTCTGCATGGTTTTGTATAACCTGGATGCATAAAATAAGACCTGTAGATCATTAAAATGGAGCAATGTGCTAAGTGTGACATCTGTTTGTCTGTATCAGCACACTTCATCTCCTCAATGCGAGTTCTTTTTGTTAGGGGTGTGTGATGCAGTAGCTGCTGGTATGTTTTCACCACATGGGAAAATTTTATTACTGTTATCAGTCAGATATTTCAATTGCAGATGATATTTACAACCGATAATCTTGCGTTTTGTTAGCCTGCACATGTCATGGCTACATTAAACCCATGTTGAGAATTCCAATCTCTTTATGTTGAGATTTGAATTTTTTTTTAATGCACAAAAATGTCAATCAGCCACAAGAAGATGGTAATTTTTGGTTATCATTATCAGCCTACTAAGGACTAATAAGCAGCCCTACTTCTT